TCAACTGTGCCTGGGCCTGGCCAGGTGTCTCAGACGGGATGTGACAGAGTGGCTGGTTGGGGCAGCGTGTTAGAAAGTGAGTGAGGCCTGCCTTGAGCACAGCAAAGGAAAAGACATAAGCCAATGAATAGAAGGAAGGCACATGCTTTGTCCCAAATGTGACCAGAAGTGGGGAGAGGGCCAGATGTCTAACGTTTACCAAACACATCCCAAAGCACCACTTCATCAAATAGTGTCTCAAAGTAAATGTGTGACTATCTGAGATTATAAAGAACCTTGGGTCTGCCTCAGGCTGTGATGCCAAAGTGCTTGGGGGCAAACTCAGCATTTAGAGTACATCTGACTTCTCTCATCACGAGGAAGGGGTTAGAATCTGAAGCAATCAACTCCATGGGAAGCCAGGCCCGCCGTCCTCCATTAGAAATAGACTCCCTGCTTCCAAAGCCCAGTTAGAGGGCACCAAAGTGACCCCATTTGTCCAGATAAAGTAAATGACTTGTCAAAGTTGCACAGCTTCTCACTGGTGGCTCCATATCCCACATTGTCACCATTGTCACCAGATTGATTGGGGGGTGGGGAGGTGACAGGGGTAGAGTTGGAAGACCAAGGTCTTTCTTACAGACCTGACACTTGCTTAGGAGAGTGAATACAGGAGGGGCCTGAGCCCCACAGACATAACTCAGAATAGCTGAGGCCAGTAGGGACCAGTGTGAGTGCTTTAGTCACATGAGGGCTTTTCCACAAGCCCCGGGGAAGTCTAAGGGTGACATCAGCTGAAGCAGAGGCAGCAGCAGAGGCAGGAGTATGTCAGAATGCTAGCTAGTAGGGTTTTGGGGGCTTCTACTTTCCTGTGCACTTTAAGGAGATTTCCTCTTCAGAGGCTATAGACTGTCGAGCAGGGCGATGATGCTTTAAATGTCTGTCATCTTCTACCTCTGAGAAATCTCTCAGCGAGGGGATGCGCCTTTCCCCCTACTGTGTAAGGCAGCAGTTTTCCCACTGGGTGTTAGTGACTCGGTGTGGTCACACATATTTCTTCGTAGGTGGCCCTGTGCTGGGCCCTGTGTAACAAGTGCATAATTAAATGCGAGACAGTAACAGTTGGAAGGGTCCCAGAACATAAATATAACTTCTGTGCCATTGAGGTGGCTTAGTGACTTACAGCACTTGCCACCAAGCCTGATTCCTAAGATCCACATGGTAGACGGACAGAACTGAGTCCCCAAAGTTGACCTGCCCTCCACATGTGTCCCCTCCCCATCCCATAAGTAAATGTCACTTCAAAAGAACCTGATCCTGATCCAAAGACTAGTGCCCCTGGAGCTGCCACCATTACACCTTTCTCTTAGAGGCTCTGTTCTGAAGTTCTGCTTAATCATTCTCATGACAGTTACACTGTGGGTCTGTATGTATTTCCAGGGACTATGATTCTGATTTTGTTTAACATTTGTTCCTTGTAAAAGGAAACAGGTTGTTTGTTGTTTGTTTGATTTTTGAACTAGCCAGGCTAGCCAGGAGCCTCCCAAGTGCTAGGATTATCTCACGGCCCTCCATGGTGTATTTTTGGGATCATTAGTGACTTACGTGGATATTGTATTCATTACATCCATTCTGTGAGCCATTTGGGCTCCTGGCTTCCTTTTACTGCCATGAGTATTCCTGAGCTGTTCTTTCTGCTAGGTCAGGTGTCTCTAAAGAAGGCTGGCTGATGAGGGAGTGAGACCTCTGGGTCTGTACAGCTGTCATTAGGGTGCTACTGCCCTCTAGTGGCTAGTATAAGATATGCTGGCACCCTGAAAACCACAATACAGTCTCCTGGCTCCCACAACTGAGAGACCCGCCTCCAACACTCGCAAAGAATTGTCTGTCTCCTATACCAAGTTGGAAACCCCTGCCAGCCCCATCTTTCGGTGTGGGGTGTTCAGCTTGCAGGCATGGCCCGCTTACTCTTCAGTGGCCTTGCAGCCGCTTGCCTCACGCTTCTCACTGTCTGCTTCCGGTCCTGGTCACGCCTGCCTTTACCTTTTCTATTTAGTTTTCCAGATTTTGTTCCCGTGAAATGATATCTTCTGGTTTTAATTTTCATTTTCTGAGTCGTGGAGAGATTAAATGTTTTCCCGTTTGTATTTCTTTGGTCCCCATAAATCTTTTTGTCCATTTTCCTCTTGTGTTGGTTTGTGGTGGTGGTGGTGTCGGTGTTGATGGTGTTTCTTGATAGTTGCTGGGATTTTTCTCCATGCATGTTCTAGATTTTTTATAAGACCAAAATACAAATCTTTACTGCAAATAACTTCTACTTGTAAATTTTGTCTGCTAAATGGGAAAGCTGTTGATTTATTTTTAAATTTAGCATTATTACTATTTATTTTGCAGAGCAAAGGATAAATGTGGGCCCTCATACATGCTAAGTAATCATTCTGCCACCGAGAGCTACACTGTAATATAAATATGAATTTGCTGGTCATTTTCTTCATATTTCCTCAGGAGATGGATTCCTGCTCAGTGTTAGAATGAGGGCCTTGGTTGTCTCTGGCTGTTGGCTAGGGACAGAATTCAGGTTCTTGTCCCATAGGCCTTTCTTTAGGACAGCTTAGCCACGGCAACTGGTTTCCCTCAAAGTAAGCAAAGGAGACAGAGACAGAGGCAGTATAGAAGGCCAGTCTCTCTGTAGCCTCTTCTCAGAGGTGATACCTCACTGTTCCAACCCTATTCTTAAGTGGATCATAATTTCCCCCACCCCACCCCTGGCTCACAGGAAGAGAATCACACTAGGTGTGGACCCCAGGAGGGTGGGGATCATTGGGGATATCTTAGAGGCCGAGAGGCTGCCTACTGCTGATTTGTAGGAAAGCCAAGAACTTTTGGAGGGGAGGGGTATTTGTTTGTTGTTTTTGTTTTTCAAGACAGGGTTTCTCTGTGTAGCTCTGACTGTCCTAGAACTCGTTGTGTAGACCAGGCTTGCCTTGAACTCAGAGAGCTCCACCTGCCTCTGCCTCCCGAGTGCTGAGATCAAAGGCGTGCGCCACCACCATCCAGCTTACATTTAATTTTTCTTAATTTTACATTCTTCAAGAAAAACTTCCCTATACTGGCTTTCACTCATTCTTTAGACGTTAAAAAAAATTTATTCCTTTAATCCCAGCACTCAGGAAGCAGTGACAAGCAGATCTCTGTGAGTTCCAGACCAGTCTGGTCTACATTGTGAGTTCCAAGACAACCAGACTTAGGTGAACAGACCCTGTCTCAAAAAACAAAAACAAACAGAAAAGTTTAAATTTTTTTAAAACAACATGGCAGCACGTGCTTATCATCCAATCACTGGGAGGTAAAGGCCAGATGTTCACCTCTCAGCTACAAAGGGAGCTCAAATTCAACCTTACATGATCACATGAGGCCTTGCCTCAAAAAATAAAATACTTAAAAGTAAGAATTTTTAAATTGTGTCTTTTTCATGATTTGTTTTTAAAGTTTTTAAAGTGTGTGTGTGTGTGTGTGTGTGTGTTGTGTGCCATGAGTGAGCAAGTACTACAGAAGCCAGAAGGGGGCATCAGATTGCCTGGAGCTAAAGTTACAGGCAGTTGTGAGCTGCCTGACCTGGATACTGGAACCAAACTCAGGTCCTCTGGAGGAGCAACAGTTGCTCTTAACCACTGAGCCCCTGCAATCAGGTCTTACTATATTTAGAATTTCATTTTCTAGTATATTAACCATATGTGGCTATTTAAATTCAGAGCTTCTCCAGCCATTTTTCAAGTGCCCAGTAGCCACTTGTGGCCTGTGGTTGCCAGATTAGGTAGTTCTGAGGCAGAAGAGTTTCATCTTCATGGAAAATCAGAGAGGATTTTGCACCAGCGTCTCAGGAAACACATCGGCATGTCTGGAGGTTTTTGTTATGTTGTGGTGGTGCTGGGAGCAGTATGTGAATGCCTTCTCACGTGTGTAGCACTCAGAACAACTTTGTGGAGCCAGTTCTCTCCTTCCACCTTCTCGTGCATTCTAGGGACCACACTCAAGCTCCCAGGCTTGTGTAAGCCTTTACCTAGTGAGCCATATTTTTGGTTCCTGGAATTTTTTTTTTTTAATTTCAGCAGTTAAGGATGGTGAGATATTCTACAGCCACCTAGTGAGCAGAAGCCAGGGACAATGCACAGGGCTGACTCTCCCCATCCCCCTCCAGCAAAGACTTCTCTAACTCCAAATGTCCATAGCTGTGCCAATGAGTCACACTGATTTGGATGGATGTTGGTTCGTGTTCTGAGCTGAATCAGTTGATACTGTTTCCTGTGCACGTTCCGTGCATTTCCTTCTTGTTAGTCTTAAGAAAAAAAATCCCTTTAAGAGGGTAAAGAGCCTATTGCTTTATTAAAATACTGATATTCATAGTCTTACAGGCTCCTAGATCCTGATGAGAACATCCTCACCTTCCCCGGTTGTCATGGCTTCAGACTCACAGGAAGAGACTAAGAAGATGCTTCATGGGATGCTTGAAAGCCCTAGTTGGGGACTTTTTAATCCCTTCATCCCATTGGGCCTCACTAAGCAGTTTATTCACAAAGCATAAGGGAGGAAGGGAGACAGAGAGCAGAGCAGAGGTGAGGCACCTGGAGAGGGTGGTGGTGGAAAGTGGGCGCTGGCCCCAGTGTGTGTACTTGATGTTAAGCACGGCTTAACTTGTTATGCCCAGATCTCAGGATTCCCAGAGAGCTCAAAGAATTGCCAACCCGATGTAGTGAGACAAAAGTCTTTTAATAATTCGAACCTGGTTTGGATCGCAATCTGTTCCCACGTCCAGGTGCTTGAGATATTTATACACAGGCAGATTCTGGGGTTTCAGGGTTACATGACAAGGAAAGTGAGAAGGGAAGCATCTCTCAAACACAATACCATTTGTTTAGGCAGCAGGCGGGATGGCACATCTTGGGAAGGGAAGCTCTTTTGGCCTTTATGGTGCTATCGGGGACTAGTGGTTTCACAAACCGGCCACAGCTGTCTGGAAACGCATGAATGCCCCAAAGTATGGCGCTTATCTCCCCAAGGATATTTGGTCTTGTGCTTTCCCCAAGGACAGGAAGCACTTGCACTGGGGAGTGCTTAGCCATCCATCAGAGAGGGTGCCAGCCTCCATCACATGGGGGCTGAGAGTTGCTGCTATTTATCTGTTCTCAAGCTGGCATTTGTCATTCCTGGGAGGGGGTTTTCATTAGGGAGTACCATTATGGAATGGGGATAGCCATATTTTGGTGCCAGGCTGTGCCTGCTTTGGAAGGTCAGGTGGTGGGAAAGAGCAAGGGAACTGAGGGGAAACTCCCTTTGCGAGTGGCGAGGGAGTGCTGAGGCAAGGGGAAACTTTGTAACAACTAGCAAGAGTGTGGAGGCTGGCTGCCCCAGCCTCTTCAAACTTTCCTCACCTTTCATAACAAAGAGGCCAAGTGCTTTCCCCCAGGCCACCTCCATTTCTGCCAGCTCTGTGTATGTGGAAGACTCACATTGGTGATACTACACCTGACGGGCCCGACTCCTTGAGGCTCTCCGAGTTGAGTTACTTTTCCATGGAGTGTGCCTCTCTCAGACTGTTCTGTCACTGCAGAGCTGTCCCTGCCAGGAGAGGAGCACACTCAAAGGTAAGGTCGCCTAAGCTGCTCGAGATCCTGAGGGCTCTGGAGGAGGATGAGTTTGGCAGCAACAGGGAGGAGATTTTCATTGCACCCCCTGACAGTGCCTCTGGGGACTTCACTGATGAGGATTCTGGGGAAGAAGACAGTGACCAGAATGGTGCCCAGCTGCCTACGGGTGCTATGCGCATCAGTCGTGTCTGAGGATTCAGACCCTGAGGAGGAAGAGGAGGAGGAGGAGGAGGAGGAGGAGGAGGAGGAAGAGGAGGAGAAGAAGGAGGAGAAACCAGAGCTGCAGCCAGCCAAGAAAAAGCAGAAGGCAGCAGGTGAGCCTCAGTGTGTTTGAACCAAGAGAGCCATCCAGCCAGATTAGTTGGAAAGCCTCTGATTCTCATATAGAGGACCTCAAAACCAGGGAGCTGAGTACCATGAGCCTCTTTGAACTGTTTTCTGATGACGAGATAATCAATTTCATTGTTCATGAAAATCTGTTATGCTCAGCAGAAAAATACCACCCTAGATCTCATGGCCCAGGAACTGAAGTGTGTTCTAGGCATCTTGATTTTCAGTGGGTACATCTCCTATCCAAGGAGGCAGATGTTTTGGGAGACAGCTCCTGACTCTCATCATCGCCTTGTGGCTGGTGCTATCAGAAAGGACAGATCTGAGCTGATCTTCTCCTACCTGCATTTTGCAGATAACAGTGAACTTGATGAAAGCGATAGGTTTGCCAAGGTCAGGCCCCTCATCATCCGTCTGAACTGTAACTTCGGGAAGCATGCTCCCCTGGAAGAGTTCTACAGTTTTGGTGAATCCATCTATGAGCACGTTGGGCACTGGGAGTCCAAGCATCTGCACTCAGGGAAGCCAGTCTGGCTGGGCTACAAGATCTGGTGTGGGCCGACCAGCAGAGGCTACCTGATGTGATTTGAACCAGACAGAGGCTTGGATGTAGGGACCAGTATGGTGGTCAGCTTTGTGGATGCACTTCAGGGGCATGGCTGCCTACCATACCACAAATTCTTTGACAAGGTCTTTACAAGTGTCAAACTGATGTCCATTTTGAGGGAAAGGGGAGTGAAAGCCACAGGAACTGTTTGTGAGTACAGAACCAAGTGTTGTCACCTCAAGGATCCTAAAGAACTGAGGAAAATGAAAAGGGGCTCTTTTGACTACAGGGTGGATGAAAGCCAGGAGATCACTATGTGCCGCTGGCACAACAGCCACTTGGTAAACATCTGCTCCAATACGGCGGTCATAGAGCCAGTCAGACTGCCCAGCCACCACCAGGGAGCAGCCGAAGCTCAGGCATAGGTCCACCAGCCATCCCTTGGTGAAGCTTGATCAGGAAAAGGCCAGAGAGGTTGACCAGACGGACCAGAGCAAGTATAAGGTAAAGATCCGGGGCATGAAGTGGTACCTGGGCATCATCATGGATACAACCCTCAACAGTGCATGGCAGCTGCACAGGATGTGCTGCCAGGACAGGTATTGGACAACCTGCTCACCTACTGCAGGCCCACGTATATCTGGAGAGCAATGCGGACACGTCCTCACAGGGGAGGCAGAGTCAGCCGGTAGAAACTGAGAGCCGCTTTGATATGATTGGACACTGGATTATCCATCAGGACAAGAGGACCCAGTGTGCCCTCTGCCACTCATAAACCAACAACCCCTGTGACAAGTGTCAGAAAGGTGTCCATGCCAAGTCCTTCTGGGAGTACCATATTACTGCTTCTTTGGGCTATAGTGACATCACTGGGAGGACTTGCGGGTTTTCTTTGTGGCACTTTTGACACCCATCACTGATGACTTGACTTTATATTCCCTCCCAGACCCCATCACAGTTCTCTTTTTTATTGTATTCTCTTATGTCTACCTGCCATGTAAATTAGTATTTATGTTAGTAATTTTCCATGTTTGTAGACTTGTATTTTATACTCTTATTCATTATATTGATTCAAATGAAAGTTTTCCTGTAGTAGGTATGTATTTAAGTCTGGGTAAAGATAGCCAACACCTTTCATGAGTAGTGGAAAGGGAAATGTTTCTGTCATTGTATGCACAGTCTGTGCTGTAACTTAAATGTCCCAGCAGTCTAATGAAAGCTTCTGAACCTTAGCTGTCTTGTGCTTGCCCAAAACTGCAGTGTTCTCCAAGGAAATGGAGATGAGAAACGATAGTAGGGGTGTGGAGATATGCTGTCTGCTGGCAACGAGCTGCCAAGAGCAGCAGTTGCTGACCGCTTCTTCACTGACCACACTTGCTATATGGTCACTTGCTGAAGGTAGTGGGTGATGGGCACAAAAGGTGGTGAGCTCTTACAGCATCCGGGGGAAGTGGAAATCTGCCCACCCTTTCTGGACAACCTAATGAGGTCTGCTCAAAATCCATCAGGATATATTCAGAGGATAATTATAGCAGATATTCAGTCTGTGGTGACAAAAGTCAATAAAGTGTGGGGGTGGGGGTGGAATAGAACCTCCTCCAAACAAAGTCCTAAAAACAAAGTAAAAATAGCATCAAAGTCCACTGTTCAAACACTCCCTATAAATGTGTAGGCACCGATGGAAGTAGGGCAAAGTGTCTCCTCACAAGATACTTCACTTGGGACATTGACATCACGATCCATCTCTTCCCTAGCACTCCTGCCCCCAATATCACCAGTGTGCTGCAGTACTCCATGGGTGCACAGCCCGAACTGCAAACCTCAAAGAGACAGGCAGATTCAAGTTGAGTGACATTCTGCAAAACACAGGAGCATTCCCTTGGCAAGTGTAAGGGCTGTGGAAGCCAAGAGAGGGTCCAGGGTTACACAAGACCGAGGAGGTATGACAATGGAAGGTGTGGACATAACTCACCACACAGGCTTAGAGCAGAGGATAATGGGATGGCTGATGGAGACTGGATAAGGCTTACACATTAGCTTCTGGTGGTTATAAACATTAATTCCTTCCCTGGCTTTGATAGCTGTCCACTGCTCACCTATGGAAGATGCATAAAGGGATCTAGTCAAATACTGGAAGCTTTTTATTATCTTCAAGTAATTTCAGTCTGGACATCAGGAAAATATTTATACATTTTGAGGCCTTATTTCCACTTGTGGGAACCTAGCCTGGGGCAGGAGAGACAGCAGCACTTACAGTGCTTTGGTTTGTTGCATTTATTGTTTACTTGACGGACACCTGGTTGTGGCATGTGAATGAAGGTCAGAGGACAACTTGCAAGGGGTTGATTCTCTCCTTCTACTACGTCCAGTCCAGAGGGAGGATCTCTGGTCAACCTTAGTAGCTGCTAGTAACACTCAGACACACTATGTGGTACATATACAAAGATATGTGTGTGTTTAAATTTTTTTTTTTAAATCTAGCCTAGATACTTTCAATATTTCTTACAAATTGGTTTCTTGTTGATCTGATTTTTACTGTCCAGCTTTCTCTATCATGGTGGGAATTTCATCCAATACTTGCAAGTATTTTGTTTTACTAGTGATACAAGCACACAAATTAAGATAGTACTGGGAAGAGTCTTCTAAAAGATTTTTAATGGCCCATTGTCATTCCTTCCTTATGAGTTCAAAGAAATATTCCAACTCTGGTGCAAATAGTCTATGGTCATAGCTGATTTCTCTCCCAGTTTACTACCTGAAGTTAAAGTTTGAAACAGGATTACCATATGTTCCAGTAGTCTCTCTAGTGAGTATGTATGTAGCAAAAAGAATTAAAGGTCTAGAAGAGATATTTGCTTACAGATGTTTATTACAGTGTTATTTCAGTAGCTAAAAGAAGGGAAGAGCAGTGTCCTCCTTTCTGTAGCTGAGATAAAATATACTGACAAAAAAACAACTTAAGGGAGAAAGGATTTATTTTAGCTCACAATTCCAGGTTACAGTCCATCATTATGGGAAGTCACAGCACTGATAGGGCACCAGCAACAGCCCTGAGAAGCAATCCAACCAAAGTCTAGTTCACTGAACCAGTGGGTTTTTGGGGGTTACAGGAATATAGGCAAAGGGTTACTCACTGAAGCAAGGTGTCTCAGAGGCTACATCACTGAAAACCCCTCCCCCACTAGGGCTAGAAGTCATGAAAGCTATGTCACATTGCTTATATAACCCCCCGAGAGGGGCCTTGTGAATGCTGTTCACTTCTTGAGCCTGAGATTTCCCATTAGGGGATGTGTCAATTCTGCAGAAATAACCACTCCACAACCACTGTACTTGTAGCAGAACCTCCTTCCCAAGCTCTCAAGTGAAAGCCAGTCTGTCCCTCCACCCTCTTCCGGCTCCAGGGCAATCAGACTCTTTCATATTGTTTCTCTATAGCCTATGTGGAGCAATATACCGAGAGAAGCTGCCTGTTCACACATAGCATTCATATATAGCAGTCTTTTCCCAGCAGGTACCACCTGAGGGTGGACTCAAATATTTACACACTGGACCCAAATATTTACACACATTGGACTAGCTGAGCCTTCTGCTTACAGATTGACCTGTTTCTTTGTGTCAGTTTTTCTCATATAAATAAAGATAGAGGGGACCCTAGGATTCAATGCAGGAAGGGAAGGCCACTGTGTAGGGGAACCTCATGGCTGTGGAAAAAGGTTTTGACACTTTTGATGTTACATGTGAAATTTTAAAAATCTCTCCCTCCCTCCTCCTCTCCCTCTCTCTCTCCTCCCTCTCTTTCTCTTCCTTCCTCTCTTCCTCTCTCTCTCTTTCTCTCTCTCTCTCTCTCTCTCTCTCTCTCTCTCTCTCTCTCTCTCTCTCTCTCTCTCTCTCTCTCTCTCTGTGTGTGTGTGTGTGTATGTGTCTATGTATCAGGATGTTAGCCTGTGCCTGTATAGGTCATAGGTCAATGTCGTATCTTCCTATATTACCCGCCATCTTACTTTCAGAGTCAAGCTCTCTGACTGAACCTGGATGTTGCCATTGGGCTAGACTAGCTGACCAGCAGGCTCCCAAGATCTACCTGTCTCCATCTCCAGGCATCTCCGCACAGAACGGTTTTTAGTTTTTGTTTGTGTATTGGCTGGTTTTGTGTGTCAACTTGAGTCAAGCTGGAGTTATCACAGAGAAAGGAGCTTCCCTTGAGGAAATGCCTGCATGAGATCCAGCTGTAAGACATTTTCTCAATTAGTAATCAAGGGTGGGAGGACCCATAGTGGATGGTGCCATCCCTGGGCTGGTAGTCTTAGGTTCTGTAGGAAAGCAAGCTGAGCAAGGCAGAGGAAACAAATCAGAAAGTAACATCCCTCCATGGCCTCTGCATCAACTCCTGCTTCCTGACCTGCTTGAGTTCCAGTCCTGATTCCTTTGGTGATGAACAGCAACGTGGAAGTGTAAGCTGAATAAACCCTCTCCTCCCCAGCTTGCTTCTTGGTCATGATGTTTGTGAAGGGATACAAACCCTAAGACTCTTTCTTTGTTTTTGCCACATAGGTGCTAGCAAGACAAACTCAGGTCCTTCCTCATGGTTGCGCAGTGATATTTGTCCGTTTGAGCCATCTCACCAACCCCTGAAACTTTATTCTTAAAAGCCCATCATTAGGAGCTGGAAAGAGATTTCAGAGCATATATCGCTCTTGCAGAGGACCCAAGTTCTATTCCCAGCACCTATATCAGATGGGTCACAACTACCTCTTAATTCCATCTGAAGGGAATCCAATAATTTTGGCCTCCCTGGGCATCCTTATTACATGCACACAAACACACACTTAGAATATATTGCCAGGCAGTGGTAGTGCATACCATTAATCCCAGCACTTAGGAGGCAGAGAAAGGCAGATCTCTGAGTTCAAGGCCAGCCTGGTCTACAGAGAGAGTTTCAGGACAGCCAGGGCAATTACACAGAGAAACCCTATCTAAAAACACACACAGACAAACACACACACGCACACACACGACATATATTTTTGTCATATATTTTATAAAATCTTTTTAAAAATCCATTACAAATTTAAAATGTTATATATGAAAACTTTTTTAAATTCATCATTAAAAACACTTGGGGGCATGCAGGAGAAGTTTTGTGGGGGAAGAGAAGGGTGAGATGATAAAAATACAGTGTTCACGTATGAAGTTATAAAAAAATAAAGAACAAAAATAATACATCTACTTATATAATATACTGTGATTATTTATTCTGTCATAAAGATTAACACTACATTTATGTTACGTGCAATACATGTATATGATTAATATATAATATCTGTGTACATATCTTTCTGTGTCTGTATATAGACAGGTATGTACATACAACCAGCAAAGAGAAAATCTGTGTCTACGATCTAAGACACAGAGAGAATTCACACCCAGCTTCTCCAGCCTGCCTAACAGTGAGGTCACAGTCTGCTGGGGCCAGGTGAGAGTCCCTGTGACCAACACATATACCTCAGAAGAGCTGTAAAAGAGCAAGCTGGCTTTCTTACAGTCAACATACAGGAGCAGCATCTGTGCCACAAACGTGACCTCAAGAAGTATTTGAGTACACATGTACATCATAAGAACAACAAACGAAACCTCTGGGATTTCTTGGCAGACCTTTCCTGTGACTCCGTGGAACCACATTAACAAAAGAACGAGCAGGTGGAAGGTGAGTCTTGGCAGGACTTGGTTCATCCTCAATCCCACCACCATAAGACTTCTTAGTCCATTCTATCCTGACGCCCCTTTTACATGTAAGTGATGCTTTTTTGTAAAGTGCTTGTTTCAGAAAGATGATAGAGTTGGTGCATTTTTTTCTCAACAAATACAATAGGCGTTTTGCTTCCATTTCAAAACAGATTCTATTTCTTTCTGGGTATCAGAACCATAGCCTTCCATGTGCTAGGAAAACACTGTACTACTAAGCCACACCCAACCTTCTTCCCACTATTGATCAATAAAACTCCTAAATACCCTGAGTGCCTGTGTGGTTGATATTGGTTGTCAGTTTGGCAGGATCTAGAATCACTATGGAAGGAGACCTTTGGGCATATCTGTGAACGAGTTTCTAGACTTGGTTCATGAAGGTTGGAAGACCCACTCTGAATGTGGATGGAATCATTCTATAGGCTGGGTCTTGGGCTGAAGGAAAAGGAGAAAGTGTGCCAAAGAACCCTATTCATCTCTCTGCTTCCTGACAGTGAACACACGGGACCAGCTCCTCCGTGCTCCCACTGTGATGACTCTCAGCTGTGATGGGCTGTACTGGCAAACGATGAGCCCAAACTAAATGTTCCCGTGTGACACTGGTAGTGGTTGGAAGTGAGAAAGCATTTAGCGTTCTATCAAAGAGGTGAAAGGGAGGTCAGAGGTCAGAGACTGTTAGAGAAGTCGAGCTGGCAGTACTGATGTCTATCAAGAGCAAGACTGAGAGAAAGGAACATGACAGAGCACGGAGTGCCACCTGTCTTAAACAAACACAAAGCCACACAAACAGATTGAAATGGAAGAGCTCCATGGGGAAGGCAGAAGGGTCCCTGTGTGTCTGGATGGGGTGTGGCCTGCTGAGTTAGGGGAGGCTGAAGAAGTTGAGGTCCGATATAAGACTGGGAGAACAGAGTTGAGGTGTCATGACAAGTCATGACACCACTGACACCATCCAGGGTAGTGCAGGGTACGGAGAATCCTTCTGTTTAGCATTGTGTGAATTCCATTACTAGTAGTTCCAGAGTTAACGCCCCTCTCTTTACAGATCAGAGGAGAGGTCAGAGAACAGGTTTGCTTTTCAGACAATAGCCAAAGACAAGCTCTTCCCCATCCCTTAAGGGATACTCCATCTCCAGAGTCAGGGGAAAAAAGAGAGAAAAGAGACATGGGCAAACCAAGAGGCCTCTAAGAGGAACTATATTAATTGTAAGCACTAAGGTGAGCATGTGTCAAACGTGAAATTCTGAGCAATTAGAAAAGGGAAATTTCTCCTATATTGGGATCTCAGATAGTTAGTTCAGTTAGGAAAACCAAACAAATGGTACAAAGCAAAATCTATGATGGTGCTTCATGAGAGGGATACCCATTCAGAAAGTCAGCCTATTAACCTCAAGGAACTTGAATCCCATGGGGGGGGGTAGCTCAACTGGGTGTACACATTGGGTATAGGGCTGGGGAGAAGGCCTCAGTTGTCTAGACCTTCCTAAGGATGAGAAATGGACTCTTTCAGGATTTTCCTCAGAATGTACTTGGCTTTGCCAGCAGTTTCATGAAGTATACTTTTCTGTTGTCTGTACCTTCTGTTAGAAGAGAAAAAACAGCATACAATGTAGTCAAGAGATGTAGAGAAAAAACGCGTACTAGAGTCATACCACAAAACCAATGGCCCGCTATCTTGTTGGTACCTCTGTAACCCCTTAGAGTCCATGCTGAAATATGTATCTGGCTTTTCCATTTTCAGAGCCACCTGACGGAGAGATTCATCATCCACACCTAAGATTTCTTGGAAGACTCTCTGACTCTCCATCGGGTTATCTGGATTCGAGATTCCAAACTCTTTTTGTAGGTTATCTGCATCTATGCTCTTTTTAATGGATTCTACTTTCTTATTGATAGTATCCTCACAGGTTTGGTAAAGGGTTCCTAAGAGACTATCGTACTTGATGACAGTGAGGTCTTTCTGTAGCGTCTCTCTAAGCTTTGGGAAGTCATGAAATTCAGGCTCCATGACAGATACCAGGAATATGGGGGGTTCCCTCACCTGACCATTCTGGAGATTCTCCCTGATATTCTTTTGGATACTCTGCAGTAGCTGGGGTTCGGCGAGGGCACTCGTGCTGAGGTCCCTGTCCAGCTTGGTCCAGACGACATAGAACCTCTTTCTCATGCTCTGCATGGCTTGGGCCAGCTTCACATGATTTGAGCTGAACTGCTCAGAAGCGATGATGATGATGAGGTCATAGGTGCTGATCTGCATCTCATCCAGGTAGCTCTCCACGCTCTGGGCTGTGGCCCCTAAGCCAGGCAGGTCCCACAGCTCCACATAGGGAAAGTTGGAGGAGGAGTAACAGGCTGGTTCCTGGGTGGTCCTCACCACCCCAGTGGGAGCTGAATCCTCCTCCTCGTGTCCAATGAGCCTAAGAGCATTGATGAAAGATGACATGCCATTGCCAGAGTCCCCAGTCACAGCGATTTTTATCGTGGTTCTAGATACTTTCTGTACAATCTCTTTAACTATAGAGACCACTTCCACCACTTTCCCTCCTGCCACGGCAGTCTCAATCCTGTCAATGACTTCTACAGATAAAATATTGCTGTCTTTGGGAATGAGTACAGGATCAGAGAAGTATTTAAATTGTTTATCCTCGGGTGACCCAACTTCCTCTTCCATGTTAGTGAGCAATGGAGCAACCTGTAATTACATCGAAGGGGAGTTAGGATGGCTGTGGACACAGGCACCCACTGAAAACACTGTTCCTTGTCAAGGCTTTCAGATCCAGAGCCTATCCTATGCCAAGACCTGTTCATTACAAAGCTAGCAGAGCCCTCCTGTGCATGCACACGTTCTTGGAGGGCAAGGATAGCTAAATAGCTGTTCCTGCAACACTAAACCCCTAAGCTGAACACTGGACTGTGAGGCTGGTCTCTCACTGAGTACAAATGTCCATGCTCCTGGTTGCCTGGGCTACCCAGAGGAAGTGTATTCAGAGCAGGAACAGCCTATACCAGCTCCCTCCCAAAGGACCCAGCAAATCTTGAGTTCACACATCCTTCTCCATCAGTGGCTATTTGTTCTAGTTATACTCTGAAAACTGTTCTTCCTTTCCCCAGTGACATTCAGTAGTAATGGTGTGATGGTTTGTATATGCTCGGCACAGGGAGTAGCACTATTAGAGGGAACGGCCCTGTTGGAGTAGGTGTTTCACTGTGGATGTGGGCTGCCTGGAAGCCAGTATTCTGCTAGCAGCCTTCAGATGAAGATGTAGAACTCGCAACTCCTCCTGCACCATGCCTGCCTGGATGCTGTCATGTTCCTACCTTGAGTATAATGGGCTGAACCTCTCAATCTGTAAGCCAGCCTCAATTAAATGTTGTCATTTATAAGACTTGCCTTGGTCATGGTATCTGTTCACAGCAGTAAAACCCTAAGACAAACGGCATAAGAAACACAGGGCTACACATCAGCTTCAACAGCAAAGCCACATGGATTCCAAATGATCTCATTAGGGACTGGAGAGGGGACAGCTTAGCAGGTAAGAGCACTGGCTGTTCTTGCAAAAGACCTGGACTTGGTTCCCAGCCACTCACATGGTGGCTCACAACCACCTGTATTCCAGGGATTCCAAAGCCCTCTTCAACTCTACGAGTATTTATATGCACATGTGCACATAGAGACCCTGAGGAACGCATACACATAAAATAAATCCCAAAATAATTCCATCAATCTTAAGTCACCATGTGGGTTGTCTGTTACTGCTGCTGCTATTCTTATTCAAACATGAGAGTGAAATTCTTCTGTGAACATCTTCATTTTTTGTTTTTATTAGCATATGTACTTTTGTTTATCTGTTTGTTTTAAGACAGGGTTTCTCTGTGTAGCCCTGGCTGTCCTGGAACTTGCTCTGTAGACCAGGCTGGCCCACAAGTCAGAGATCTGCCTGCCTCTGTCTCCTTAATGCTGGGATTTAAGGTGTGAGCCACCACACTCAGCATTTTAGTCTATGTTAATGATGCATGTGCTGGGTTTTATTATGACAGTTGCATCCATGTACATGATGCATTTTTATCATATTCTCCCCCACCCCTGTTAACCTTTCTACCTCTCCTCCTGGTACCGTGATCGCTTTCCTCTTCCCAACCTGTCCCACTTGTACCTTAATGGTTTGGTTTTAGTTTTCTGCATTTGGTTAGGTTTTTCTTCTCTTCTGTGGCCCAGTGACTTTCCTTTGACTCTTTACAAAACCATGACTGAGAATCTGTCTACAGCAGCAATGTGCACCATATCAGTGGCTACAGGAAATGTCCCTCCTTCCTTCATCAGCCATCAACTGTGTGTAAATCCTCAGGGAGGCATGTGACCTCACCAGACCATCCCCTTTCCATGACAAGATGCCAGCAGTCCCAGTCACATGCTGATCTTGTACAAGCAACCACAGAGCTGCAATAGTTTCAAAAGTGGAACAGCCATGTTTGTTGGGAGCCAACTCCTAGCAGAAAGCGGCTATCATCTTTGCAGCCATCTCGAGCTATATACCCTGACAAGAGACTTGTTTTTCAACAGTCCACAACAGCTGAGCACACTCTGATAAACATCTTGTTTTTCTCACATATCTTGTTTTGTTTAGTACACAGCTGAAAGGCGCTCATGGTTAAGTGTCTTCAGTTGTGTTCCCCTGCTTGTCCATGGCTGCAAGGCATGTGGTAAAGTGTATATATACCCATGATTTCCTTTAAGTAAACTTGATCAGACTCTCTGTCTTGTCTCCATTCTTCGTGTCTCTTGCCCCTCCATCCCCACTCTCTCTTTCTTGCTAGACCCTTGGACTGGAGCATCTGGCTCCAAACATGAGGCAGGGCAGACCGGGACACATGTCCAGAATTCAGCATTTCATACACACATGCATGCACAGAAGCACACAAACACACACATGCTTCCTACCGTTTTTACATGATTCCCATGTCTTCTTCTGAGAGATTCCTTGAGCCATAGAGGGGCTGATATGGAGATATGGATGTCCCAATCAAAATGGGGCATTCAACCATGCTTCTGTTCCTGACTAAATCTTTGCCATGAGATTGAATGTACTTTGTGGGACAGGATTGGGAAAGACAATTTATCAACACCAAGGATGGAGAATCTGTGGCTCAGAGATCAAAGGCACTTATTGCTCTTTCATAAGGTATCAGTTTGATTCCCAGCACCTGTACCAGGTGACTCACAACCTCCTGTAACTCCAGCTCCAGGGGACCGGACAGCCTCTTCTGGTCTCCTGAACCAGTACAGAAATGTGCATATCCCACACACAGACACACAGGTACACATAAGTAAAAACAGGAAAAAGCTGGGCATGGCAGTGCATTTCTTTAATCTCAACACTAGGAGGCAGACACACAAGAGTATGTATGCGTTCAAGGCCAAACAGTGAGGGCTACACTTTCTCAAAAAAATAAAAAATAAAAATAAATAAAAATAAAAATAAAAATAAAAATAAATACACACACACACACACATATATATGTAAGATGAAGGATGTAAGGGGGCCAGGCAGTGTTGGCACACGCTTTTAATCCCAGCACGTGGGAGATACAGGCAGGCAGATGTCTGAGTTCAAGGCTAGCCTGGTCTACAGTAAGTTCCTAGTGAGTTCCAGGACAGCCAGAAATACACAGAGCAACCCTGTCTTAAAAAAAAAAAAAAGAAAAAAAAGAAAAAAAAAGAAAAGGGGACTTCTGGTCTGGGCCTGAGCATAGAGCAGGTCACAGGCGGCAGCTCAGCACCCAACCCTAGAAAACCAAGAGTAAGAGGGACTCCCAGGAGCTTTAACTCAGGCAGCATCCCAGGTAAAAATGAATCACCTGTGATGTCTGCTGTTAGAAGTTCTAATCCAGATGCTGGCCTCCGAACTTACACTACTCAGACCTTTGAAGGGCCACTGACAAGAACATCAAACAGCTAGAGATTGACATCACTAATCTGAAGAAATCCCTCGTTTCGCTGTCTGAAGAGACCTCCTAAAATCGCAAAGATCCTTATTGGACTTGATTTCTATTACAATAGAAATTGATTCTATTACAATAGAAAAGGCTGTGTACAGCTCTTGACTGTGTATAGCCCTTAAAGAACAAGGTTGCCTTTACATAGACAAGAAAAGGAGGGTTAAAGAGAGCATGAAACAGGTAGTGAAGGCCTTACGAAAAATCAGAGAGAGAAAGAGACAGATGAAGGCTGGTACAAGAATTGGTTTTCAGCCTCCCCAAGGTTGTCAACCCTATTTCCTCCCATCTTGGGACCATTATTTGGGTTCTTTTTGCTTTTTTCTGCTGGTCCCTGGCTCTCAAATAGGTGGACTAACTCTGTAATACAACAGATAAATAATTCGGTAGCAAAACCTACTCAGATACATTATCATAAGTTAGCTATGGAGGACCACGAGACTCAAGATGAGGAAGTTACTTTATACAGGGTGTTTCCAAAACCCATCTCCACCCAACCTAAAAGGGGGGACTTCTGCCCCTAGACCAAGCAGAGAGGGGCCACCCAGAACCCCCCTCTGTCAGGCGATCTGAATTCTTGCTTAGGCTGTGAGGCTAAGCACTGCAAGAGAATATAAATAAAAGATAAAAATATCTCTCTGGGTTCCCTGAGGGACAAGCCTGACTGCATAGGGGTTGATGTCAAAAGTATTCCCTCTCCAGGAAAAAGACATTGGTACGGGTATGGCTCTCATGCCTTACTGGACAACGACAGGGGGACTGGAGCCATTACAAGATCCCCTTCAATTACTGGAGGTCAGGCCTCTATCCCCGCCTTCGCAAGGTTAGAATTGCCACAGCCCTTCTATAATTAGAGAAGGGAGGAGATGTCAGAGGCAGCCCTGCTTACACACTGTAGGCCTAAAATCAGCCATAGGCCTAAAATCAGCAATAGGCCTGTCATACATGTATACTAACACCAAGTCTTGGATCTCAGTGGAAAAACATTGAAACAGATGTCTATAAGCTAATGTAAACAGGCAGCTTTTGTGGAAATTTACAAGCCTGAGTAGTCATAGACCTTGTAAATAGCCTGGGCAGACAATACCAACTTAGATAAGGACAAGCGAGTCATAGGCAGAGTCATAGTGACTTGTCCCCTGAACCTTCACCTAGCCAATACCCAGTTCTGATGATATCTGTATTCCCCCTGATCACCCACACTCCAGTGTCATTCCCTTCCCCACATTCTGCCTTTCTGTGTTTATAACCCCTGTGTGAATGAATTACAATTTGAGAAAAAATAAATAATAAAATAAACTAAACTTGGGGGCTGGAGAGATGGCTCAGCGGTTAAGAGCACTGACTGCTCTTCCAGAGGTCCCGAGTTCAAATCCCAGCAACCACATGGCGGCTCACAACCACCCATAATGAGATTTGATGCCCTCTTCTGGTGTGTCTGAAGACAGCTACAGTGTACTCATAAATAAAATAAATAAATCTTTAAAAAAAAATAAACTAAACTTAAAAAAAACACGATTTATTTTTAACATAGTTTTATTTGAAATAGAATTATCACTTTCCCTCTTCTTTTCCTCCCTCCAGCCACTGTCAGCTACCTTCCCTAGAATCTCTCAAACCCCGACTTCAAGTGATAGTTTCTTTTACGTTGATTATTATTGTTACACACATGCATCTATATGTAAGTGCACAAATAAACATAAATACAAGCTGCTAGACCCCCCCCCAAAAAAAAACAAGAAAAGGGCCTAGCTCCTCCTGTGGCTGTCCTTGGTTGCACTTGGCACCAGGCTGAAGCAGTCAAGATGAACTTATTTCATCTTGTACGTGAGCACTGGGTTCATAGATTTGTCCCTGCGGGATTTCTCTTTGGATATTATCTAGACAGGAAGGATGATGAAAAGCTAACTGCCTTCCGGAATAAGAGTATGCTATTTCAAAGGGAACTGAGGCCCAATGAAGAAGTGACTTGGAAGTAAAAGCTGATTAAATCACAGAATGTTCACATTTCAAAAGTTATTGGAGAGCCGGGCGGTGGTGGCGCACGCCTTTAATCCCAGCACTTGGGAGGCAGAGGCAGGCGGATTTCTGAGTTCGAGAGTTCGAGGCTAGCCTGGTCTACAGCGTGAGTTCCAGGACAGCCAGGGCTACACAGAGAAACCCTGTCTCGAAAAACCAAAAAAAAAAAAAAAGTTATTGGAGAAATAAAAATGTTTATTATTTAATTAGAAAAAAAAACAAGAAAAAAATGGAGGATGTGAAGTGCAGAAATCCATAGAAGGCACTTACAGGTAAGCAAAAACCACCTTCCACAGACTAGAGTGTTGGCCTTTTGGAGAGTGAGGACAAGAATCCAACCATTTCACAGGACCATACCAACTCTCAAGAAGCAAGACAGCAGCAAACACCTTATCTCGATGTTCTCAGATGGAGGCCCTGGGTGGGACAGGTGCATGCAGCTCCACTTACAAGTGATGGCCGTGGCTCTTTCCCTCACAATTCTATTGTCTTTCTTTGTGTGCATATGCATTTGAAACTCAGCACCATATATTTGAAATTTTTCCTGAGTCTCACATAGCTCTTCTGTGCTGTAAGGAGCTCACTGCCAGCCAGGCGGTGGTGTTGCACACCTTTCTTTAATCTCAGCGCTTAGGAGGCAGAGGTAAGCAGATCTCTGAGTTGGAGACTAGCCTAGTCTACAGGGAATTCTAGGACAGCCAGGGCTACAGAGTGAAACCTTGTCTCAAAAACAAACAAACAAACAAACAAAACCAAAAAAGCAAAAATAAAACAAAAACCGACCACAACAACACAACAAAAACACCAACTCCCTGCATCCACACCCCAAAGGAGCTCCCTGCCAGATTTATTCATGGGGCCCCAGAAAATTACTAGAATTGTACTCCGGTGTCCACCTGAGAAATCCAGGGCTCTTTAGTCTGGAAGGTGCTTCTCAGGCACCCTTAAGTTTTCTGGTACAGTTTTTTGCCCTCCATATTCCCAGTGGGAGCATCCTCTGCCCCCTTTGCTCGATTTCTGGGATGGGCTGTCCTGCCTTCAACCCAGCACTGCTCCCCATGCTCCTCCTGGGCTCCTCAACCCTGGGGGCCTGGCTTTAGTCTCCACATGGAAAGAGATGGCTGACTCTCCCTCCTGAGTCTCCAGAGGTGCCAGCTCTGTAAATTGTGGACAACTTCCTAAATCCCTGGTTTTCTGCAGATTGCCAAATCAGTTACTTTCCTCATCCCTCTGACAAAATACCAGGAGGAGTCCTGTAGTTCCTGAGGACAGCGTCGGGAACCAGGAGCTGTGGCACAGACAAGGCTTTGAGAGGCCATCAGCGTTTTGGCCTGGAGTTCAAGTGGCCTCACACTTCCCTATTTGAGGGTCCTGTTCAGTCTATACCTGTGCTGCCTCTGGTTTACTCCTTGGCACACGGGTCTTACACCCGTGAGAATGAGGAACAGATGCTCCTGGCTTCTGAAGGGACCCCAACAAGGAAACTCACTGCAGAGGAAGAGCCAGGGCTAGGAGGGGAGCCAGACCATGCAAGCCACGACTCAGAAGTCTAACAGAAAGAGGTGCACTTCATAGAAGCCAGGGCATGCTCACACACATGTTCATGCATGAACACACGTGTTTGCATGCACACTCACAAGTGTTCTGCAATATGATTCACCAAGGTTACATGTTACTCTACTGGATTCAGTTGACTGAAAAATATTTTAGTTTATTTGGTTTATCTTTGCTCTTCTTTTTGAGATAAGAATCTCTCTACATGGCTATGGCTGTTCTGGAACTCACTCTATAGACCAAGCTCACAAATATCCACCTGTCTCTGCCTCCTGAGGGTTGGGACTAATGGTGCGTGCCACCCTTCCCAGAGACTTGTGTTTTATTATATTTACTCCAATTGTACAACTTTACTAAAATATTCCTGATGACTCACCAAAATTTCATGTCTTAAGTAAATAAACTAAAAACTATGAGTAATAAGGGGAGTGATAGCACATAAGCATCCGTGATGGTCAATTTCAGTTGTCAGCTTGATGGCATCACAACATGCCCAGGGTACCAGTGAGGCACACAGTTAAGTCTGTGTGTCAGGGATTCCCAGACAGGATTACCTGAGGGGGCAAGACTCACCCTGCATGTAGGCATCGCCATCTTGTGGGCTGACATCCAGAACTGGTTTAAAAGACAAAGATGAAATAAGGCTAAGTGCCAGCATCTGCCTCTCTCTGTCCAGACTGTGGATGCTCAGCTGACTCTCGCCCACGAGGCCACACCTTCCCTACGGTAGAGGGCTGTATCCTTTCTAACCATGAGCCAAAATAAACCCTTCTTCCTTTAAGTGACTTCCTCTCAGGAATTTTGTCAGAGCAAAGAGGAAGGTACTGAAGACTGACCTTACCTATATGTGAACATGCCATAATGCAATCTGTTATTTAAATATTACAATTTTATTTAATTATTAATTTATTAAATATTCATTTGAAATATTTATTTAAAATGCTATTAAGCATACATTTATATATTTTTATTTTTATACATTTATATAACATACATGTATATATTGTAACAATTAAATGTGTCAAGTATGCCCCAGGCACTTGAAGAAGTTAAAAGACAACTCGTGGGAGTTGGTTCTCTCCATCCACCATGTGGGTCCTCAGGCTCCAACTTGGATTTACAGGCTCGGAAACAATCACTTTTATCCACTAAGCCAGCTCAGTGGCCCACAACCTATTCTTTTATGCAATTATTATAGACTAATAAATTGCATGCATTTTAAAATGTAAATCAGTCTAATATGTGACTAATATTAGCCCATGCTAGCCTAAAACTTGCTATGGAAACTTGAACTGAATCTTCTGCCCCCAATTCCTAAGTCCAATGCTCTACAAGTGTGAGCCACCTCACCCAGCTCAACTATGCAAACATATGAAACATATGAAAACTCACACTTATGAACAGATTGCCTATAAAGTATTCCACACAGTTCGATCTTCATCCAGTGACCCTGAGCCTCCAAGAGGAGGGCTTCCAGAGAT